ATTATGTACAATCACACGGCCCTGGATTGCCCGCATAGGCCGGGAATGACAATCCGGTAGAGCAACGAGCAGCCTAAACTGGATGGATACCTACCTGGCTGAAAGGATCTACTATCTACTATCTACTATTTATGACATTACGCGAAATGTATCAAAATGTAGCGGAAACTCAGGATGGTGTGTGTTAGTAGCTTACAACTGGGCTAAATTTGACCACCGCGATGTGCGCATCGTCACAGTTTTTTTGGGGGCAAACCCGTTTGCCATAAAATTGCCAGGGGTCATTGGTATCAATGTAAAGGTCAAGAAGTGGGCTATCACACTGTGGTATTAGATAACGGGATCCAGTTAAATAGTAAAAAAGACAAGCACAAATAAAATGACCAAAAATTGCTAATTTTTGGAAGGCCGTAGCGCTCGCTGTCATTTTTGCAATGCACGGAATATCTACATGGTTGTACTGGGCAAATCCTGTAGATGTGAAAAAATGTAAACATTGTGTAGGTCTGAGGTATTTTTGTTACAATATAGGCAGTTGTTTACACCCATGCAACGGGGTCAAATCGTGACCCGGCAAACGCCGTATCTTAGAGAATAACGCGTTCTACGGTGACCTGCGGTTCGACTGCGGAAGTCCCCGTACTGCCCCGCGCTAGGGAGTACGCGAGGAAATGTGAACTTTGCCCCTAACAACTACAACGGGACATCCGAAAGTACTCCCTACAGAACTCTCTAACATGGGATACATATGTTAACAATAGTTGTAAATGTGTCTATGAGAATTGATGAGTCAACATATTTCAGAAGAATCTATAACGAAATAGAACAACGGATTTGTAAACAGATTAGATTATGTAACGTATTTAGCATGAGTAGCTTGCAGGTGAGGGCACCTGCTTAAGTAAGGGGGGAGGAATGTAACAATATGTATTGTTAGTATTAAAGCATTTGTATTATCGCCGGTTCTATCCCCTCCCTTGGGCGGTGCCGCGGTCGCCTGTTCGAACACGTGACAGCGCACGTGCCAACGTCGTGTTCGAACAGGTGATCTATACCGGTACCGTTCGAGGGAAGGGGCTCTAGAACCGGCCGGTACAGATTGAATAAAGGAGTTGAGATCAAGCCATTGACGAGTTTAGACGTGCGTCCTTCTTCGTCCTGTTACACTATAATACTGTATTATTATATTCATTGTTGTTTATTACCTTCGCCAAGAAGGTTATGTTTTCAGAGGCGTTCGTGTATGTGTGTGTGTGTGTGTGTGTAAACACGATAACTTGAGAAGGCTTAAATGGACTGACTTGATATTTGGTAGGTGGGTAGGTCTTGATGAGACCTCAAAATGATTAGATTTTGGGCCTCCTGGCGGCTTGTCATGGTACTGCAGCAGAACTTCCGGTTTTGATATCTCATGATCCAGACATGCTAGGGTGACGAAATTTAGATGGTAGATAGCTCTTGTGCTGGGGATGAAGTGACATGAGTATGAGCCCCCTAGTTGCTTGCTCTAGAACTGCAGGGGGGTTTAAAGGACAAATGTTTAAAAGAGGATAACTCAAGAACCGATTGATGGATCATGGTGATTTTTGGTATGTAGGTAGCTTAAGTGATGCTTGACATAATGATATTACAATTATGCAAATATTGATGTAATTTGCATAATTAATGAGGAAATTCTATAAATCAGCTGCATTCCATGATAGGAAGTTCAAGCTTGTAACATATGTTATTAAGAACGAGAGAAACACAGGCAAATATCGATTATGCAAATGAAGACTTAATTTGCATAATTAATAAGAAAATGTTATAATTGCATAGTAATAACTGCCTGGAGTTTCATACTTGGGGTGTTTGAAAGTTAAGTGAAGGTGAACATAATTAAACATAACTTATTCAAATAAGGACCACATTTGCATAATTTATGAGAAAATGGCATTCTTTGTTAAGATAAGACTGTCTTTTGGTGGAGAATATGATCAACAGACTGATATAATTCATGCAATTGAGGATCCTATTTGCATAATCTGGGTGATTAGTATATTTCTTATTCATAAAGGCTAACATCATTTGGCGAAGGTATGAGATCGTGGAACTCTAGTTAATAATAATTTTGTAACAGTGGCAAGCCCTGACCATACAGGAGTCAAGAGGATCCACACAGGTTTCCAAGTTGATATCTGATGTCCTTGATGATGATGATGGACACAGAGCATCTTATCAGTCTATAAGTACATGTAGCAACGTGAGGGGGAGGTTAAAATGATGATTGCTATTTTCATAATTAATTCAAAAAGTCAGTTATACATGTACGTAGTAACACCACAAAGGGTTTATACTACATTGGACTTCTAATTACTTTGAATTTCTGGCTCTAACTTTTTACATGTTTTATCATTGTTGACAGGGTGTCCAATGTGTCATCATTATTAGTACTTGGTACGTCTGGCAGTGTATGGAAAGAGCCGGTGACGTTTTGAACTTCAATAACGAATCTTTATTTGCATGTTCATGCCCATGGGGCTAAATGCATACATCAGAATATGATGTTAAATGTACATCATACTGAGTAACATGATATATAGGATACAAGGATAACAGAATATCGTAAAATTATTAACAACTACTAGAGAATAAACTAATCAAGGTCTTCAATGCAAAATTCAGTGCCACCCAAGAATACCAAAGGCCAAAAGATTTTTTTTCTTACACGTGGACAGATTTGTTTACTTCTGTGTACTTTTACGGGCGATGATAGCTGCGTTAGCCGTACTGAAAAGGATCTTATCATCCACGGACGACGAATTACGCAGAAAAAACTCCAGGACTTTCGACCTCATCTCGGGGTGTGCGGAGACATTCGACGTTTGCGTCAAGAAGTCGAGAATCAGTCTTCCCGCCTCCGAATGCTCCTTGAAGCACTCCGCCACGTTGACGTACTGCTCCTGCTCTTTGATGACGTAACTGATGCCCAGGGATTGGAGCGAACGCCTGACGTCACCAGAAGTGCGAAGACAGGTCGTCAGACGATCGTCTCCATCTGGAAACCAGTCCCATACTTCATGGAACAGTTTCCCCAAGCCTCTTTTGTCTGCATGCAAATATACATATGTGCTTAGTGCTCAGAACTGTTAACGGGCAGATCTAGAAAATTCAAGCAACGATTAGAAGTGTTAGTTTGTTCCTGGGATCCCCCCCCCACCCCCTTTGTGGCCCGAATCAACATACCCGTAAGAAGAAAGGCAAACAGGTGGCCTCCCTCAGCCAGTTGTTCCCACATGTTCCGCAAGGTAGCGTGGTGGTCCTCCACATGGTACAGAACATGAATAGCATGGGCAAGGTCGAACTTGGTACCATCGGACTGGGAGAAGTACTCCTCCGCTGTCTGTTGACGCCAGTCAAACTTCACTGCACCCAGGCTCGTGTCATGTTGTACCAGAGCCTACAGGGTTATGTTTCATTAATTTTTTTTCATCAGAAAGCTCATTCCTTTTAACTTAGACTATGTAACATTCTGTAACCTCAAGTTACTATGTTAGCCATGATTCCTTCATGATACAAAAAAAAAAACAAATTTAAAAGTGCTTTTTATTTCCGTTTTGGATAGGATGCTATAATAATTTTAAAAGTCTGATATTTGTAAACTATGGTGACGCCTTTGAAGGACATGGATCAAGCCAAGACTGGTGGCGACATTGGTGTTCTTAAAACATGCACTCATCCCAAATGGGAGGCCACTTAAGCGGCGTCGCAGCCCTACCTTAAAACCCTTTATCATCTCTTCTGACGGATCCACGACTCTGTTGTACACGCTGCTTTGCCTTTGCAGGATCTTCCTCAAGATAGCGCTGTCAACCTCTCCTTTAAAAGTCAAGTCAAGTCAAAGTTTATTGCACAACGATTGTCACGGGTACAATGGCAAATAATAAAATTACTAGTTGGTATGTGTCTAACATAATACTATATAAGGTCAACGGACATTGTATCTGACAGAGTATTATAAATAACTACTGGCTAGAGAATATTTTGACTCTACATGTACATTCTACATTACGCTAAACTATACACATGAAGGGTACAGCGAGCAGTTATACCTAATTATACTAAACATGTTCTATCGCTACTAAACAGTGTGTATACTAAGTTACTTGCCAGGAATGTTAAGATTCTACATACAAATGCTACGAAACGCTATACTATATACATGTAGTTGATAAAAATTCAGTGACTCTACTTATACAGCTATACTAAGATGTCTTTTTTGCATGGCATTATAAATGTATTGACCTATATATACAGAAAATGTGTCTGGACATGACATAAGTACATGGAACGTCTCTCTAGATGTGTTGGGTAATGTTTTAGTAGTCTTACATCGGATCATCTGCATTAATTTGTAAAAATGATACATGTAAAACCATAAGAATGTTTCTAATGTCTGACAGTGCAGTGCAGTTATACATTCAAGTTCCAATACATTACTCGTTTACATAGCATTAAAAGTTAATGATCAATTCTCATGATACAAATATCACGGCATGTTGTGCAAAGTATGAAAGTATCTTTGCACGAAAACTTAGATTTACCAATGGCAGTAAATACATGTGCCAATAAAGTTGGGTAAGGCCATGTTGATTTGATCATATGGATGACATCCTCCGGGAACCCCTAAACTGATGCGCGCGTGCGAATAAAAAAAAAGTTTTGCAAAAAAAAAAGTTGTTTTCATTATGAAATCGACGTGGTCATGAGGGTTGAACAAATGGGACAGAATATGTTATGGCGAATAATATTACTACTACTACTCTTCGAATTCATTTCTTAACAATTTCGTCTTTTTTCATTTGATTTTGGCATTCTACGACATTGGTATAGTTTTTATTATTTTTTTGTAACTTACGGTATATTTTTGCTCATTTTGCAACTGTTTTGTACGATTTACAGTAAGGTTGAAAACTTTTTTTTTTTGGAAACGGCCGAAAATTCATGCGCGCGCGGATGTCATCCATATAATCAAATCAACATGGCCTAATGTTAACTTCGTTTCTTTAATGAACACTTATGAAAAGTCAAGTACGGTGATTTCTAACTTACAAGGATTGTAAACGAAATTACTGCACTTAACTTTTATTTACTACCATCGTGAATCCAGATACTATTTAAAAGTAAACATTACCCGAGTTTACAACTGTTGATAATTTTTTTTTTACTTAGTGGTCGCCACGTAACAACTTCAAGCTTAGGTGAATGGTGCTACCACCAGAATGGTATCAATCACCACTGCAAATCTCGCGTCACCTGTCCGCATTTCGCGTCTCTGATCGATAGGTTGTTCGGTTAAGCAGCCGGAATACCGGCGGTAGAATTGAACGAACCGACGCGCTTGTCAACAACTTTTCTTTGTCTGGATATGAGCGAAGAAACCTAAAACCTCCTCGATCGAAGCACGGTAAATGAGGCTTGGTTCAATGGCGGCCCCAAACGCTCTCGGCGCCGAAGGGATAGCGCTGAGCTCACGGCGGTCTGGTTAACCAGGCTAGCTGTTAACGTCCACAAACACAGACACGCAGACCCAAAAGCATAACCTTCTTGGAGAAGGTAATTATTCTGTATCGTGACGTTTCTCACCTGATCCACTCCCAATACTGAGTACACGGACGGCGGCCCCCTCTTGGCGCGGAGTCGGCATTGGGATGTTGTCCTCTAAAAATTCCAGGTAGGCACGGGGACGTGTCGTCTCAGACGCAGCTAGAAACGCCTTGTAGGCGACCTCCCATCGTACTGGGGAGTCCCTGATCAGCCTCCCGACTTTCAGCATTGCCCTGGATACTAAACGATTGGGGACGTACAAACTTTCGCGAGGGCTAAACTGTATATGTATTTAGGTATCGTCTATGGCTGCTGGTGGTGAGCAGCTCAGCAAGTAACCTTTCAACTGTTACAGGTCAATGCTATATGGGTTAGAACCGGTTCTAGAGGAGACGATCAAGTTTCAACCATATAAAAGGGATGTCGTCCCTATGGCAAGGCCTTTGTTAAGCATCGCATGGCCTGCAGTGTTACCTTTGTTAAGCATCGCATGGCCTGCAGTGTTACCAAACTACTCTTTTTTCGAGTAAACAGACAGAATCAGAAGGAAAGGTCTCATATCTTGCACCCCTATTCCAAGAACCAAATGGCCTGTTCCTAGTGGAATATGCACTTGAGCTCTTTGTTGTGTCACATACAGAAGATCAAGGTCCAACTGCCAAGTACACCTGCAAGGGCAAAGTCTAAAAGTTGATTGTGTCAGGCTAATGGGTTTACGGAAAATGCTGGGCTGTAGCAGGCCATGCCACCATACGCAACTAGGTTTGCCATTGACCAGTTTAAGCCTCGGTCACAACCCGCCGTACGTGCTTCTGCGTGCGGTCTACGAGCAAAAACGTGGGCAAACGTAGGGGTTCCGTAAGTGGTGAGTACCACCTCCGTACGGAATCCTACGGATTTGGGAACACGCAGACACGCCGTAGAACTCTAAGTACATGCAAAACTTTTTCTGCGTGCGGTCTGTGGATTCACCACCCGTACGTGCGAGTACTAGCGACGCGCGTGCCCCGTACGTGCCGTACGTAAGCAGCAGTGTGAGTACGACCTCCTTGCGGTAAAGTGGCAATCGCACAGAGATCGTACGTTGCAAGTTCATACAACTCACTAACCACTTGCGCAACGAACGACGCACGCAACCGCTCACGGCCAGACGTGGCGTGCAGACCACACTGTTACATCCGACCACTGTGTGAGTGACGTGCGTCGACGCCACTTCTTCCGCACGTTTTCAGAAACACGTAGCAGACGTGGCCTCCCAATAAAACGTTCGGACAAAAAGCACACACGGTGGGTTGTGCCTGAGGCTTTGATAATGAAATTCTGGCATAGGGCAAACCGCCAGTGCATCATTAGCTTGGTCTATTATATATACAGCTCATAATTTCTAACAGGTGTTAGAGATCGTAGGGCACGTGTTTATTGCATAACCCTGCTGTTCTATTTTCTATTGTTGATAATTTCAGCATAGAAAGCTACAGATGTAGACCTTTTATGGTGTCCACAGAGATTTCTGGACTTTTGAGAATTGCAATCTACTTCCATGATTCATAATTGTATATCATACACTCCAAGCAGAGGTTTTAAGCTTCGGCTTCTTTTGGACTTGATTTATATGTTTTTACAGGGTTCTCCTTTTTTACTGGTACATGTTTCTTTTTTTTTGCCTTGATACTGCCTGAGCAATTTAGTACTGTCTTTACAGCCTCCAAAAGATCTGCTTGGAGATTATACATTCACATGGTTGTTCCGCTTGGTTGTCCCTAGATCCCCCTTTCCGGGAAGCGAGCCAGGATCGATGCGCGCGCGGATACCGGTCATGAAAGTCAAGTTCGCCGGGTCTTATCCCCGTTCCCGGAAAAGGGAAGCCCGACATTGCAGCACGCGACCTTCATCATCTGTTCGTGAAGATCATTACACGAGTCTGTGCCGGAAAAAAATCGATAATTACAACGTAGAGACTTTATTTCAAGCCGGTCTGATCCTTCGATTCGACATGGCGTCCAAAAAAAACGTGTTTTGAATTCGCTTCAACGCATTTAGAGGCTGGGTAGTCACAATACGCTTTGTAAGAGCGTTTGATGAAAAGTACATTGAGGGGTTGCTTGGAAAGTCTGACGTTCATACCATCCTATTTATATCTCGAGGATAGAAAAATAGTGAGATATAATACAAAGAGCTCGCTGGAGAACCTTAAATTTTGTGACTATAACGTTGTTACTGCCTGGCTAAGAGACATAAAATAAGATATTAATATGATAAGATATTAATATGATACGAACTTCAGTGCAAACTCTCAGTATAGTCATGAAAAGTATAGTCATGAAAAACTTAAACTGTTCTCCAACTCAAAATTTGACTCACCAGAAATTTTCGACTGAATCACTAAGTCTTCCTCAGCTATCTGACCCAAATGCCATGGACACGTGATTTTTCCCACGTGTGACGTCAGCAAAGGGTCAAAGGTTGTCTGAAGTCGATATCGCCCCCCGTCCCGGGGTGATCATGCTGATCTCAGTATAGTCCTACAAGACGGGCAGGCCAAAGCAATTCTCACTTTTAGATAGGATGCCTGAACTACCTTTAGCTACGTGTAGATAGCATTCCACATATCTATTATAAATGCGGAATGCTGGAAATAGAAATCATTCTGTCAGACATTCCTCAATGCTGACAATCTCAAATCCAGAGTTCTCCGCCAAATAGTCCAACAGAAAAGCAGAGATCATGTAACTGTCGGGATGGTCCGAGTCCAGACTGAGGACGCCTCCCGTGTTCCCCAGGCTGTCGGCGATAACACGGAGAGCTTTGGGGACCCTCTCCACGTCCCGGTAGTGGTAGTAGTTTTTCTCCGTTAAAAGGTTTCCTGCAAACATACAAGTCAAGTTGGAGAAAAGGTTAAGTTTTTCATAATGTAATTTACCAACTCAGATGAACTTTCATGCTGATACAAGTCAAGTTTATTGTGCAACAAATGCATCAGATACAATGTATGGCAAATAATACTTAATAGCTATAAACTATTTCTACTAGTTTACTAATCTAACTTCAATACATGTATATATGTTATAATGGACTGTTACATTTCACATTGCTGTGACATTGTTTCTCTTTTGTATAGCATTATGTACATATTGGACTAGGTAAACAGATACAGAGTCATACACGAAGGGATTTATTAAGGCATTCTGACTGGATATAGGCCAAGCCTACCTTTCTGTACGAATCGAATCGAATTTGAGTCAGATTTGAGTCAAATTTGAATGCCAAACACACCTTCATCTACTCCCGAACCACCAGTCAACCATGGCCGAGCCTCCTGTTCAAACTTGAATATTTCTTCCTTATAACCTTCTTGAATATTTCAAACATTTTTTAACATTCGGTTGACGCGGCCGAATTCAGTAGCCGACCTGGCCGAACACCAGCCGATCACAGCCGACCTACTACCATAGTTGTGGAGCGTTCGGCTGGTGGTCGGGAGGCAGTATTCGACTATGTGTAACAGGGCTTTTAGGTATGTTGAATCTGTCCAGCTGACCTTCGGTTGGAGGGAAGCGAGCTGTCGGCTGGATGAGCCTCAATCCTTGGTTCTTTGCGACGGTTATAACCGACTTCGTAGTGTTCTCCGCTAGGTACAATGTCGGCTGCAGACCGGTGTCCCGGTGGCGTTCTATCGCGCTAACCAGGCTGAACCTGATCCACTGGCGCGCCTGTAGGGCTAAGTGTCCTGGCGGGAAAGGCTGGCTCTATGGAGAAAACGTGTACAAGAGAAATGTAACATTTGCAAAGCAAATGCATAATGTCTACCTTCGCATATGGTCAATTCTTACTCAAACACATTCATATATATGGTCAGACAGGAGTCTAAATCCCTCCTGCTATAAAATTGCAACATGATGTAACTCAACACTAGTTACCATGGTAACAGGCGTCTGGTTGAGGTCATTGACCTTGTTGGTTTGGAGAAGAAGAAGAAGAAGAGGAAACAGAGCAAAAACAACATGTTTTCCGTCGATAAACATTATCAAACATTTTTCACAGTTCTTGTATCTTGTTTGGTTTGAAATGACATTCAAGATACCTACCTTGACACTACACATACTCACTAGTGTCTTATCTGAAAGGATAGATTTTGTGGTCACCCTCATGCTGTGTCATGTACTGTGTGAAAAAATTTCTATGGTAAAGGTATCTGGGACTACAACGCTTTTTCCTCTATTTTAGAAATCTTTAGCCTTCTTCAAATTGAAGTAAACTCCTATTTATGTTTTTTTGTGCCTTCTTCATGATTACTGACCCACAAAAGAGCCATCGTGCTGAATCTCTACCAGTATGATTGCCACTGTAGAAGAACTATGAGTATCGAAAGGTAAAATTAAACATATTGTACCTCTCGCATGCCAATGGTGAACACCTCGGCCCATTCTTTCACCACTGTCGGAAACAACTCTACAAAGTCTCCGTACACGAACAGGGCCAGGGGAATGCGGCTTGTGTGCGCCGCCAGAGTAGTCACCAGCTTGCTAGCGGCCTTAGCGTTCATCCCGACCTGCACCACCAAGGCCAGTCTCGGCCTTTTCTGTGCCGACTTGATGCAATTATTGTAGACAACACCGGGTTTTCCAACAGCACCAATCTATGATAGACATACACGCGGAGATATATTACGTTCAACGTAGTAAACGATGTCGATGAATATCATATATTTACAGGAATACAAATTAAAAAGTTGTTGACTTTGTTGAAGCACAACACATGGTTAGAAACAGCAGAAATCATACATAAAGCCTTCTTTCATATAAAATGTCCATCATGTGGAGGCTACAAATGTATTTGGTCTCTCTCATTTTCTAATCAGTTTCTGATGCATAGGTCCAAAACGCCGGCTTAACTACTAGTAGTAATAGTAGTAGTAGTAGTAGCAGCAGCAGCAGCAGCAGCAGCAGCAGCAGCAGTAGCAGCAGCAGCAGTAGT